ATCGACGATTGATGCCTTCAATACCGTGATAAATAATTACGAAAAGATAAATAAATAAAACGAAGATGATATAAAAAAATTGGACAGGCCGCGTGGACATGACGTCAGGGGGAGGCCACCACCGCCGCCACCGCCGCGCCTGCCGCCACCGCCGCGCCCGCCGAGTAAAAAATAAAAAAAGAAAAAAAATTAAAAAAAGACTCATCAGGTTGAGGTAGAAGAGTCATAAAAAAAGTCACTTAAAAATACAAAAAGAAATGTCACAATCCAAGAAAATGTCACGTAAAAATACACACAAAAAAATGTTTAACAATCCAAGAAAAAATCACTCAGTCACTTTAACAAATACACAAAAAGAAAATGTTATTAATCCATGAAATAATTTTACCCCCCTCCGGATTACTCGCAGGAGGGGGACTTCATCCACATACCGCGAGATTAATTCGCGGGGGGGATGAAGTACTTCTGAATAATACTTCTGAATAATTGTCCTCTTCTTCCTCCTCTTCCTCCTTTTCCTGTGCTGAAGCCAATGAACTAATATATTCATACAAGTGTATTGACCATGGCAGTTGCACAACACCAACGAGAGGGTTGTTGTCAATATGATAAATAGTTTGTTCCTCCACATATATCATGAAGTTACCATTGTACTCTGCCGCGTTGTATCTTGCGTAGATAATGATGCGTGGTAATGCCATTGCGAAGATGTTGCACTGAAAGTTCTTCACGCAAAAGCAATTGTTTTTCGCGCACCGGTGATTCTTCGCACACAAAATTATTATCGAGGTGATGCCACGAAGACGTTTCAACGATATGCCTCCACAAGACTCATTGCATGAGATTGAACGCGGCGTGTCAAGAGAAGCGCTGATACTCCGGCTGCTATAAACAAATCGGGGAGACCTATGATGATGATGTTCCGATTTAGACAGAGAAATTGTCGATGATATATAATGGGTCATGGGGTGTGCAGGATCACAGTAGATGGAAGTCTAATGTGAGAGAGAAAGCTGACGTGCATACAAAAAACGTGATACAAAAAAAAACGCAAAAGTATCGCGTAGTGTTTAACGTTCAACGAGAAGAAATGGCAAGTGAAAAGGCATCGCAGGAATTTGATTATTTGGCGTATATTAGAGATTTATTAAAAATTACTTATCCAACTGAAGCAGTACGTATATTTATTCACATGTTTCTAATATTTAAAATATTAAACTCAATATTGTAAAAAATATTAAACTCAATATTTTTGTAATTTGACAGACATTATATCTCGATGGTATCTCAGTTGTGAAAACCGTGCAAGTACGGAATCTTATAAAAATTCAGATACGCCACCCGAATCTACGATGTATCGTAGATTTTATTGTCTCTCTCTTTCATGTGCCAGCGATGCTCTTAGGTGATCTTGCGTACAACATTGGTCAACGGATTGTAGTGAACCACGCGATCGTGTATAATGAGACAGTACGCGATGGTATTCATCAGTACGTTCTCCTTAGTCTCAAATTTCCAATCTCACGTCCACGGTTGCGCTCTTGACCGATTCGTTTTGTCGAAAACAATTGATGATTATGAATGGACTATTATGTAGAAAAGATGTGACGGTGAGACTCGGCTTGAGATATTCGTATCCGTAGTAACCCTTGCAGAAACACGCGTACGTTTCATACAACACGGACCATCTGTTTTTGTCGAAATCAAGATTCATATCGTCGTACGGATAACATTCCGAGTTCAGATAGAGTTTCACGTTGGTCAAGTTGCAGTCGTCGAATCGGCTCGTGTCCTCAGTCATGACATCTTTGCGACCTGCTTGCAGAGAAGATGACGTGTCGCGGCTTCTCGAGCTGAGTAGCGGTCTTGATGGCCCATGAATGCTTGGTTGTACGCTGTAACAGCGGAAACTCGTACAGATCCCACGAGCGAAAAGCCATGCTCAAGTATCGTCCGCTCTCCAAAGTGCGCAGCATCGATATTTTTTTTATCTCGCTCAATAACACGTGCGGCATTCGCCATTGTATCTTGAATACCATAAGTCGACCACGGGATCCAACGTCGAATTTCCCATCAGGTAATTGTTGTCGTTACGCGATCGTATCAAGATCAACTCGTGACGAGCGTTGATTATCACGCGTCTGTAATCCTCGCAAAATCTCAACAGTGCGCAAAGAGGTACGCAAAAGTTAAAATATCCATCCGCGCTAATATGCGCATCCCAACCGGCATTCCTCAGAATCACGATTCGGATGAACATCGTTATGTAATATTTGAGCGTGCTGGTTATGCCCACGTTTCTGTTACGATCAATCTCCATACCATCAAGGTCGTATCGAATCTCATCGAACAGGAACGCGACAAAATTATTTCCCAACATCACATCAAATCCCTTGATAACTCTGTTCTTCGTTAATTTTCCCTCGACCTACAGAAAGCTTTCGTACGGCAATGTGTGCAGATCCTGTTGCTGTATAAGTATTCTTATCTCATCGCTATACCCGAACATCGTATTAGCGAACGGATTGTACGCATGAATTTCAATCTTGACGATGCGATCATCAAAGATTAGCTCGTCTTCGATGTTTAAGATATCAGTCATTTCACAAGTTGCGCACCACGAATCCTAAAGCTTGTAAAAATTTAACGTCCGACGCGTTAAGTTTCTTCCTCTTCTTGATGCAGCCGGATGAGCGAATATTGTCGATCGATGTTTTCTTTGTAAAAGATGCGTTATCTCTCTGCGTATACTTCGCTTCGTTCAACACGAGCAAATGTCACGCTCATGTTATCGCTGTTGCCGTCGTACGTGCAATCTGTGATCTCTTCTCCTCTGAAATCGAGCAATCGTCCGTCAACAATATGTATCGTTAGCTCCGTAATGCTCCGTACGATGACTGGCAGATAAATGATCTGCATCGGCCTTTCCGATATCTTATATCCTGGCGGCACGCTCGGTGAAAATTCGTGTATCGTGTGCACACTTTTGTCGTTGCTGTATGCGCCCGCGGTCACGTTGCACTCTACACGGATAATGTTTACGTTCATTATGTTGATCGACACGTCCGATTCATGCCACCTTCGCGATTGCAGTATACGCCTCGAGAAACCCAGCAGCGATCCAATGTTATGAGGCTTATTAAAGTTTATTCTGTAGGCGTATTTAATCTCACACCTCATCGTGTTTTAATTTGCGCGGAGCACTATCGGGTATTCTCCAATCTTGTCGCCGCGCGCAATGTCATCAGCGTTACCCTCGGACGCGTCGCGTCGCGGACGTTTCCGTAAAATCTCACGTTTCAAAAATTCATTTATGGCATGCAGTTCATACGATCCCTCGGAAATCGTAATTTCTGCGTCGTCTTTGCCAAAATAAAATATATTGTTCGAAGCGTTTATATTCGGTGATAAGTTTCCAAAATTATTAGACCAAGCTCGTAGTCATCGTCGCTCAAATCTATGGCTGGAGAATAATTTGCCGCGAGAACGCTGCTCTTCCCGCTCAGCGTAAGCGTCAGCGACATGTTGAAAAAAACGTTCGACGAATACTGAGACGCCGCGATTTTGTCGGACTTTATAAATTTACGCGCGTCGGCCGTTTTGGAGAAGAAACCACAAGCACAGCTGTCCGCAGATGCTCTGATCGTACGTCTGATAGAACGTTCGATTGTACTCTATCGTAGTATCATCTCTGAAATATCGTATCAGTTCTTTGGGCGGTCAAAGATTACCAATCTGTCAAAGTACACAACGCGATTGTTTCTCTTTGCGTACGCTACCTAATGAGTACCGGGACCCGTCGTGTCGTCCAGATTTACGATATCATTTTCGTTTCGACGCGCACTGCTAATCGGTAATGCGTCACGCATAAAAACTCTAAAGTACGGTACGCGCATACGCTTCGCCAGCTCGTCCAATTGTACGTTGGTGGTTACACATAGGTATTTTTATTGTCTCTTTGGTGTTTTTTTCTTTTTTCTTTTTTTCGCTGTTACGCCTCGTCCGCCTTTGTACAAGGCGAGATATAGTCCCCGTCCGTATTTATACGGAGCGAGATACAGTCCCTGTCGCGCGTTTCTATCGCGCGACGTTGCAGTTCCTCGAGTTGACGTTGCGCGGCTTTCCTGTCGTTTATCGCTTTCGCTGGTCGCTTCGCCGATTAAGGACCCGAGAGCGCCCAAAATTGGCAAAATCGGTAATACACCACCTCGTTTTGCCGTTGGAAGTATTAGTTTCTTTTTTTGGCCGGCTTTTTTCTTCGCCTTCATACCCATGCCGATCTTGGTCTTGGCTTTCATCGCTGCCCAAACGGCTGCAGCTGCAGCTTTCTCGCTCAGAGCCGAATCTCTCGCGATCCTAAAGCTTTATCGGCGAGTACCTTGTCCGCCGCGTGTCTGTCGGTGAGATCGTTGCTCTGAGAATACGCAATGTCGTGTTCACGGCACGCCGCGTCCAGTGGATTTATGCCCGTTTCACCTCTGGCTAATCACTTTTTCAGCCGAGTACCCGGACCGCAAAACTGATAGCCGGGGATAGTAGTAGTTCAAAAGGAAGCGCGTTTATCGCTCGATTGAGCAGACCTCCAATGTAGCCTTCGTTTGACGCTGCTGTTGGCATAGGCCACAATCCAAATTTATCTTCGGTGCAGGACCGTCTATATGATCTCGATCCCACGATTGATTACAATGCTCGACGCAGCGACGATAGGTTTGAACCTCCAAATTTATATACTCCGGAAGCTTGTCCCACACATGATCGATATAATTACGCACACGCGTAACAATACGACCTTCGATATATATTGCAACTGCTCAGTGCTCAAATTCTGAATATCGGAGGGATGCGATAGCGCGAGATACATTTTTGCTACTGAGCGATTCATGGTTTCGCGCGCCTATATAAATAGGCGTTCGATCGAAGCCTAGATAACTCAGTGCGAACATGAAATTTGTACGGCAGCCGCTGACGATACGCGTCGCGAACTGTGAGAGCGCGAATGATGGGAGACATCGCGACGGAGCGCAAGCATGGTGAAATGTTACCGAGTACCGCGCCATCATTTGCGGGCCGTCGAATTGTGGTAAAACCAACGTTCTCATAAGCTTGCTCGAGAGTTCGGTGTACGTGTACGTAGAGCACGGTGTACGTTTCGAGAACGTGTACGTATACTCGAAATCGCTGCAACAACCGAAATATCGATATCTTGAAACTTTGTTGACATCGATAGAAGAAATCGGCTATTTTACGTTCTCCAACAACAGTGACGTCATTTCACCGAGCGAGGCACATCCCAATTCGATCTTCGTCTTCGACGACGTTGCGTGCAATAAGCAAGATGCTGTGAGAGAATACTTTTCGATGGGCTGCCACTCGAACGTCGATTGCTTCTATCTTTGTCAGACGTACGCGAGGACCTAAACCTTCTACCTAAATATCTGATATGCGACAATGCGAACCTGCTGATTCTGTTCAAACAGGATGGTACCAACTTGAAACATGTTTACAACAATCACGTGAATACCGACATGTCATACAATGGATTCTGTGCGTTATGCCGCGATTGTTGGCAGCACGAGTATGGATTTCTAGTGATAGATAAGGACAGTCCGCTTATCAATGAGCGATACAGAAAAGGAATTTAATACATTCGCGGTACCGTAACGTGATTAATCGATGTCGATACGTCAAGCAGGCAACATAG